ACGTGCTTATGATATATTCAATAAAAAAAAAAAAAAAAAAAAAAAAAAAAAAAAAGTCTTTCAAAATAAATGTGCAGGTGGATTCTTGGTTCCCTCTCGCCGAGTGCTTAATGGTCTCCCTATGTGCTCACCTCTATATTTGCCTGAATAAATCCAGGCAAATACACTTTTTTATCCTTCCAGGATAGATGGGATGGAATGATGCTCTTGAATTATCTCAGAAGGTGGATGTGGATTTATATTTGTTCTCCTGTAGCTGCTCATGAGTGGGTATACTGACCATCTCTCTGAGGATCTCCCAATTCCCCTCCTGGGGCTGTTTCCTTTTCCAGTCCTCCTTATATCAGCTCAAAGGGTGTTGTTCAATTGAGAAAGGAAGACAAACAGACCATAGTGTCTTATCCTTGTGCAAAAAGGGGGTTTATTGCTGCCAGTTGCACAGTAGTATACAATTGTAGTCCAGCATAAATGTGCTCTGCCTCTGTTCCTGCAGTGCTGTCTACCTGTGTCTGTATTCAGATCACCGAGCCTCTCCAGTGCAATGTCGTGACGTCAGAGCCCCTCCCCTATGCGTATCGTCACAGGGTCACGTGACTTCATCAGGGGGAATGATTAGAACTAATCATTCCCCCTGATGAAGTCACGTGACCCTGTGACGATACGCATAGGGGAGGGGCTCTGACGTCACGACATTGCACTGGAGAGGCTCGGTGATCTGAATACAGACACAGGTAGACAGCACTGCAGGAACAGAGGCAGAGCACATTTATGCTGGACTACAATTGTATACTACTGTGCAACTGGCAGCAATAAACCCCCTTTTTGCACAAGGATAAGACACTATGGTCTGTTTGTCTTCCTTTCTCAATTGAACAACACCCTTTGAGCTGATATAAGGAGGACTGGAAAAGGAAACAGCCCCAGGAGGGGAATTGGGAGATCCTCAGAGAGATGGTCAGTATACCCACTCATGAGCAGCTACAGGAGAACAAATATAAATCCACATCCACCTTCTGAGATAATTCAAGAGCATCATTCCATCCCATCTATCCTGGAAGGATAAAAAGTGTATTTGCCTGGATTTATTCAGGCAAATATAGAGGTGAGCACATAGGGAGACCATTAAGCACTCGGCGAGAGGGAACCAAGAATCCACCTGCACATTTATTTTGAAAGACTTTTTTTTTTTTTTTTTTTTTTTTATTGAATATATCATAAGCACGTGCACATAAATATATATGTGTTTGCACAATATAAATATAAGGATCACAGTAGAATAGAGGAGTATTTCTGATTTGTATATCACTGTACTTTAATAGGCACTATCACCTTAGGATTATCAGTTATTAATGTCACTTGCATGAAGATTAATATTCACAATGATGTTTTGAGTCACTAGTAATAATTGTTTGATACATGCAGTATCTTGAAAGCTATTCATTAGCACTTTGAAAGTATAAGATATACATATTGGTACATGGGAGCGCGGAACTTTTGATTGTGTGTTGGAGGGCTCGGAACCCAACACTTTTGAGTGTGTGTTGGAGGGCTCGGAACCCAACACTTTTGAGTGTGTGTTGGACGGCTCGGAACCTAACACTTTTTAGCGTTTGTTGGACGGCTCAGAACCCAACACTTTTGAGTGTGTGTTGGAGGGCTCGGAGCCCAACACTTTTGCGTGTGTGTTGGAAGGCTCGGAACCCAACTCATTTGAACGTGTGTTGGAGGGCTCGAAACCCAACACTTTTGAATCTTATAAGAAGCCTCAAAAGCATTAGGTGACCCTAATTAGAAACACTCTTTGATCCCCAACTGTTTCAAGAGTTACCTGAACTCCCTCAATAAATGTTGTGGTTCTTGGAGACTTCTTTTTCCATCATATAATCAGCTCTTGGGCTGAATTTGCTTGGCAGGACAAATTAGCTTGTAGATTTTTCTACAGTGGAGTGATTGATTTCAGATCATTTTGTGATCCCTTTTTAGACTCATCATAGGCATCCGCCATTTTTCTTTCTAAGGGCCCTAGATAGCTCTATTGATCTTGGCGTGATGACACCACACACATCAATAGCAAAGAGAACGCAAGACCCTGAGGTTTAAATAAAGACAGATTCACCTTTGTACTATCTATGGAGGTTGTAATCATTGCACCTAATTGGGAACACCTGATTCTAACTTAATGGATTTGAAGTGGTGCTAAATGTAGGGGTTTACTTATATTTTCCAACATTAATATAGATCATTAGCAGTCCCGGACTGAGACAAAAGTAGGTCTAGGCATTTTAGACTGAACAGCCCCGAACTCAGGGGCCCTTCCTTGGAACCCGGTGGCAGAATGCCAGGGCCTGGTTGCAAGTGTGACCTTTGCAACCCTGGTAGTTCCACTACTGGTGTCATTAGTTTTTAATTTTTATTTTATTTTGTTATTATTTTTTACCATTTTATTTATTTATTACAATTTTGTTTTTAATTTTCTTTTAATTTTTTTTAGGAGATTCGTTGTGGGTCTTTGGTGGGAAATCAGGGGTCTAAACAGACCCATGACATCTCACCTTTGAGACAAAGAAAGGAGATTGAGGACAAAGTCTTCAATCTCCTTCTCTGCAGCCTCAGCAGCAAAGGATGAATGGACAGGAATGGTTCATTCACATACTGAAGCATAGTAAACACAGTTTACTATGCCTCAGTTATGAATGGACAAAGTCAGGGATTGGTATCGATCACTGACTCTTCATTTAGACAAGGAACGGGCCAATAGATTACACATTTACCAGCTCCTTCCCTTCTATTCATCCTGTCAGATCCCCCACAGCAACCTACGGGAGAGGGGATGGGGGAACTCGGCAGAGCTGCAGGGTGGGGAAGGGGGGTCAGCCACTAGGTGAGTACACAGGAGCTCGGGGCAGCAGGAGGTGGATAGTAGGGGCAGCGGGACTGCATATAGAGGAACCGGTCCATTCATTTCTCTCCTGCAGCTGATGAATGCCAGCAAGAGGGAGAGGAGGAGGAAGTGGGCATTCAGAGGCTGCAGGAGAGAAATAGATGGATCGGTTCCTCTATATGCTGCCCCTCATATCCAGGCAGCCCCTGCCCACCTGGCAAATGCCTTTTGTGCCTTATGGCCAGTCTGGGCCTAATCATGAGTATGAATACACCATGTAAATTATATGTTTCATTTGTTCAAGTATTTCACCTTTATCTGTAGGCAAATTTTGATTCCAGATTTAGTGTTTTTCTGTTCAAATATACTGAATAACTCAACAATTTTCATGGGATGTACCTACCTTTCCACATGACTGTATATGAGAACATGGTACACACTCCACCCGTTTTTTAAGGGTGGAATATGTAACATGTTCCTGCTCCTGCAGCCGTTTGGTGATCCGCTGCCTCTGTGTGACAGCAGTGCGGGGAGAGGTTCCCCATACCAGCTGTCACTTCTTGCAATGAGTGTGGAGCCCCGCATGGCCGCGTCATTCATTTGCAGAGTTCTGTACATGAATGAACTACAAGTACTGACATCCTTCACAGCTGTCAGCTTGTAGTTCTCAATGAACTACCACGGCGCTGTTGAGCACTGCGGCACTTCATTGATTCTGCTTGTCGGTATGAGGGTTGAGCACACAGATACACAGACAGTCTGCAGGAGACTTGCATGGCACCAGCCATCTGCTGATTACTGGTGCAATGCTTTCCAAGCATCTAACAAAAAGTAAATGCATATTCTTTTACCTGCAAAAAAAAAGTGCATTTGTTATAGTTTTTTTTTTTAAAGGTGAACTTATCCTTTAAAGGGAGGGTATCTTATTTTAGGTATAATTCGTGTCAGCCCCTGGCTTCATCTATGCCTTGGATATAGCAACAGTGAGATCTCCTTGTCATAAATCCTGTCTGTCTCAGAGTTCTGGGTGTTCTTACTTACCTTCAGAGTTCCAGCTAAGCTCATTACATAATATAAAATAAATCAAGCAGGGATGGTGGGAGCCCCTAATAATGGGCACAGCAAGTGCACAGACCCAGGAATTCAACACAGGGAGTGTGGGGACCCCTCATAATGGACACAGCAGCTGTATAGACCTAGATGTTCAGCACAGGGATGGTGGAAACCCCTCATAATGGCCACAGCAGGTGTACAGACCTGGATGCTCAACACGAGGATGGTGGGAGTCCTCCATAATAGATACAGCAGGTGTACAGACCCAGGAATTCAGAGCAGAGCTGGTGGGGACCCCTCATAACCGGCACAGCAGCTGTATAGACCTGGATGCTCAGCACATGGATGGTGGACACCCCTCATAATGGGATCAACAGGTGTACAAACCTGGATGCTCAGCACAGGGAAGGTGGAAACCCCTCATAATGGGCACAGCAGCTGTATAGACCTGGATGCTCAGCACAGGGATGGTGGACACCCCTCATAATGGGATCAACAGGTGTATAGACCTGGATGCTCTGCACAGGGATGTGGGAGTCCTCCATAATAGGTACAGCAGATGTACAGACCCAGGAATTCAGAGCAGAGCTGGTGGAGACCCCTCATAATGGGCACAGCAAGTAATCAGACCCAGGAACTCAATGCAGGGATGGTGTGAACCCCTCATAATGGGCACAACAGTGTTGTAGACCTAGACATTTAGTGGTGGTTTAACAGCAACCCCTTAAATAAGCACAGCAGGTGTGTAGACTCAGGAACTCAACACAGGGATGGTGGAAACCGCTCATATGGCACAGCAGTTGTACAGACCTGGGAGCTCAACACAGGGATTGTGGGAACCCCTCATAATAGGCGCAGCAGGTGTGAAGACCCAAGAACCCAACACAGGGATGGTGGAAACCCCTCATGGGGCACAGCAACTGTGCAGGCCCAGGAACTCAACACAGTGATTGGGGGAACCCATCATAATGGGCCTAGCAGGTGTGTAGACCTGGATGCTCAACATAGGGGTGGTGGAAGCCCCTTATAATAGGTACAGCATTTGTACAGCACCAGGAACTCACAGCAGAGCTGGTGGGGACCCCTTATAACAGGCACAGCAGGTGTTCAGACCCAGGAACCCAATGTAGGGACATGGGAACCCCTCATGATAGTCACAACAGTGGTGCAGACCCAGACATTTAGTGGAAGCAGGGGCGGACTGACCATTTGGAAACTCGGGCACTGCCCGAGGGCTCGGGGTCAGTAGGGGGCCCCATGAGATGCCCCTGGTGTCACGATCGCAAGATCGCTGCCACCAATATGCGACGATCCCACGATCGCGATGTCCAATATGTGATGAACGCGGCATCAGACCCCAGCCCTTCTCACCAAACTCGTGACCGAAGGACTAGCCAATCTAAAACCGTGATGTCACGTGCGTAACAATGCCACACCCAGTTGCACCATGCACAACGATTTTTCCAGCTAATGGACCACAGATCGATGTACCGGTAGCCTGAGCAATTGTTACTGGGTCAGGTTAATTACACAATTAACCCTTCATACTGCCACCACCTCCTTTTTGTCAGAGAAAGAGGAAACTCGGCGATCTCAGCTCAAACACTATAATGATTGAAATAATCGTCTGCATAACACGGTCATAACACAGGCCAGTTATACAGAGGGTTAAACAAACAGTAGCGTTCTTTTTAGCGGCAGGAATTCGTAAATTGCAATACAGAGCTATAGAAACAGTTCAACACTTTCAGAAAGAAAGATTTATTACTAAAAGGTCAAACGGGTGCAATAAAAATATTTACAGAAAAAAGATGTAACTAAGATATATATATATAAATATACAGAGAATAACAGCACAGCAAAGAGATATCAGAGAGACGTGAAAGGGTTAAGGTACTTGCCATTAAGCCTTGGATGTAAGCAGATCAAGTTTCTGAGCAGAAGGGGCACAGGTCTCCCCCAGGTGGTATTGATGTTCAAATGGGAGACGTCTTCAACTTTTTTCTCTTAGGCCTGACAGGCTGTTTTGTTGTCCCCAGTAGGGGTTGGCTCTGCAGTCAAGGACCAATCTCCACTTAGGGCGTGGAGATATGGGTGGATGCCTCAACTAGAGCAAAAATCTCCCCATAACTCCTAGATTGTAAGCTCGAAAGAGCAGGGCCCTCAATCCCCTCATGTTTTGCATTGTATTGTTATTTTTCTGTCACATGTTCTGTCCCCCTTTGTAATGTACAGCGCTAAGCGAACTATTGGCGCTTTATAAATACTGTATAATAATAATAATAACTCATATTTTGGCCTGTAACTTTCCATCTGCACAAGTGACATTCCACCCGCAGGTAGATTACTATGCAGACAAGTCTGAGGATTGATTAGATATGAATTATGAAAGTGTACACTGAACGGTTCATGAGATCTATTTTTCTGCTTTCCTGTGTGTCTGAGACAAGGCGAGTGACCCATCAAACTGTTCGCCTGCTCATCGTCCATCTGACGATATGTCCGTTTTTTATGTAAGTCTCCCATATTCCAAGATATGAGACATAGGGGAAACATGGATTTTGAGAAGTGTTATCTGATTCTGTCACCTATGCTGAGTAGGTTCATTAGGTCGGGATCTCTTTCAACTCTTGGGAAAGCTTGCCTTATCTCTTCCGAGGTGTGAAATTGCACAGGTTCTAGGACAGCTAGGCCCTGACTCCCTGGGGGGACCTTTATAGCTCCTATGACCCTCCTGTGACATTTTTTAACACACACATACACTGTCATTGTGCCTCTCAGAGTGAGGGGGGAGGGAGAGTGAGAGTGAGAATGAAAGAGCACATTTGGGACACCTGTTACCTTTTTCATAGGCATTTTTGAGTTTGGGCAAGGACACAGGGGCCCCATGATCCCCTATTGCCCGGGGGCCCCATGAGTTGTCAGTCTGCCCAGAATTGGCAGAACGTAGAGGCATGAGAGTTTATCTAGACATGTATTATTGCTAGGGGAACTAGTTGTCAGTCCGCCCCTGAGTGGAGGTTTTATGGGAATCCCTTAAATGAGCACAGCAGGTATGCAGACCCTGGAACCCAGTGCAGGGATGGTTGGAACCCCTCATAATGGGCACAAAAGAAGTACAGACACCAGAACTTAGCATAGGTATGGTTGGAACTCCTCATAGTGGACACAACACAGTAGATGGTGGGAGCCCCTTATATAATACACAACAATTGTATAGACCTGAGAACTCAGTGCATGGATGATGGGAACTGCTCATAACTGGCATAATAGCTATGCAGTCCCAGGAAATCTGCACAGGGATGGTGGATACCTCTTTGTGCAGACCTGGAAATTCAGCGCATGGATGGTGGGAACCCCTTATAATGAGCAAAGCTGGTACGCAGACCCAGGAACCCAGTGCATGGGGTGGTCAGAACCCCTTATAATGGGCACAGCATCCATGCGGACCAGAGAACCCAGCACAGAGCCTACACCAATAGAATTCCTGAGAGATCACAGAGACAATCTGATAGTTTAACTCTCCAGCATCAACCTAAAACTGAAATTTGAATTTTGGGATGGAATACTTCAAAACCAAAGAGATAACAGGTTGAAAATAACCTAAACATCTTACGTTTGGACTTTAATCTCAGAAATAATTGCCCAAAGTATTTTCTTTAATGCAAATTTCCCAAGAGTAATATAATTTACTGAGTCTACCAAGGGAAGGAGGATTATGTGATTGCCTGACTTCCACAACACATCACAGGAGCACTTTCAGGCGAAGGAATCAAATAAAAACACGCATTGCAATTTATTTATCTGTATATTCAGGACAATTTGTCTTGCTGCCCGTGTTAATGTCTTTGCCGTTTATTAAGTGCCTTCTTGCCGCGGCCGGCGATGAGCCCATGGCGGATGAAGCCGATGAAGTTTGTCAATACATTTCAGGAACATTCAGAATGTTATTTGTTGTGTTTAGTGGATAAAATTGCTCCCGAGAAATGAAAATGACTTTTCTCTTAAGTCTGAACTTACAGCTTGATGGAAAAAAAAAAAAAAGAGAGAGATGATGAAGACAGCAACATGCCAGCCACTTACTTCTTCCCGTTAAACAGAATTGGCAGAACGTAGAGGCATGAGAGTTTATCTAGACATGTATTATTGCTAGGGGAACTAGGAGGAGGTTTAAATACTCGTGATGCTATTTCTGCGCTGTGCCATGCATAACGAAAGATAGATTGGAGTTCATAAACAGCTCCAGCTTTTTGCTGTCGTCTTAGATAAAAACGTAGAGAAAAAAGAAAATTTATAGAATTTAAGCACAATTTGTATCTAAAGTGACAACAAAACTAAACAGAAAATTGATACCCTTTTGTATTAAATTACAATATTAAGATCCTACATAGGATTCTTATGTAGCCCTAGGTTCATAGCACTCCTTGCTGGTGGGTGGTGGACTGCCTTGTATATGGCCATAGCGAGTGGCCAAGCCAACCCCCAAAGTAACTGATATTCTGGGCAATACGATACCTTTGCCCACGACTCCTCTGGATGGCATGTAGAGACTGACCCCCTCTTCACCCCCCCTGGCTGCATGGCTTTGCCCCCTCAAACCCAGGGGTTCCAGATTCTGGCCTCACCTTTCTCAGGCCCAACAGTAGAACATCAGTAGAACTCTCCCACTCTCTTCATGGTTGCACTGTGACCGAATAAAGGCACCACAAGGCTGCATGTAGTTAACGTTCTTTTACTGGAAAATTTCAGTTAATAACATGGCTCTTCTCAGCTCGTAGACCTTAGCACGGTTTCATCAGCATCAAGGAACATTTGGTCCCAGGCCCTGCCGGAGGGTGCTTGTGTCTTCTGCAAAAGGGAGCTCACAACCTGTAGGCCTGCTACACTTCTCTTTCTGGGGTAAGGAGAGGAGGAACCAAAGGGTAAACCAACTCCCAAAGTCTTCTTCTGGGCCTGCACTGACCCACTGTAACTTTCCTTCTTTTTTGGGGGCTAGGACAGGAAACCCCCAGACACCCTGCCCTTCCACAGAGTGGGAACAGTAGGACCACAGCAGCTGGTTCCTCTTCTTCCTCTCCAGTGTGACCCATCTCAATCCCTGGTCCTACCTAAACTCCCAAGCTTCAGCCAGGGAAGAACCTTAAAGGGAACCTTGTTCTACCACCTGCCTACATCCTACCTGCTGCTGCATGAACTGGGCTGTCATTCTGATACTGGAGCTGCCCACACACAGTTTTGTCTCCCTCTCTCAAGCCACAGTGAGCTGGAAGGAAGCCCTGCTCACTGCCCAGGAAAGCAGAGGACATTGTGATTGGCTGTTGTGCAGCCTTGCAGAAAAAATAGATAACTGGGAGCCACCTGGAACTATGGGAGCTGTAGTCTTTATCCAACCAAGCACTGGACGGGACTACAAGTCCCAGGAGGACAGAAAGCTAGAGAACGAGGAAAAGGGAAAAAAAGCCCAGGCTCAGGACAGTCTTATATGGGTGACCAGTGACTGGGCTGCTGAGTTGGCAAGCTGCCTGCCATGAGTGTTTGCTGAGGTATTGGAGAGGGACTGTGCCACCATACCTGTACTGAGGGCACAGTTATTGGAAAGACCCAGCTATCTGGAACAAAAGGGGCATCACCAGTTCCATGAGAGATCATCACTACAGGGCCCTGAATAGCCACCAACACTACCAGATCCTTTGTTATCCACTTCACAGACTGCATGGTGGTAACAGGCTGCTGGCCACAACTTCCTTACCCACTTTATAAAGGGACAGTTTTGGGAAACAATTTAAGGATTTGCACCCTGTACTGTGAGATCCATGTTAACCAGAGTGCTCCAGACAGGAACTTTGGGCCCCAACAATCAATAGTACACTGGCCAGTGGGAGGGGTTTTGAGAGACTGAAGGACCTTTTAGCTTTCAGTTCTACCCAGGAGTGGACTGACAACTCATGGGGCCCCTGGGCAATAGGGGATCATGGGGCCCCTGTGTCCTTGCCCAAACTCAAAAAAGCCTATGAAAAAGGTACCAGGGGCATCTCATGGGGCCCCCTACTGACCCCGGGCCCTCGGGCAGTGCCCGAGTTTCCAAATGGTCAGTCGGCCCCTGGTTCTACCCCTTTAATTAGGACTTCCCTAGATTCAGGGTTCAGGAACAAATAAACTTTAAGGGGTCCTCTCAATGTTCGCGGTGTTACACAAAATTGTTATTTGTCATTGCTTATTGCTATCGCTATTCCATATGTTGCTTTGTGGGGAGAATTTCCCAAAATAAAACCTCTTTCTTTAGCCGTGGTGTGTCAGAGGGTATGGCATTGCCTGAAGGGACGTTGTCATCCAAAATTAGGGGGACCCATCCATGAATGGTTACTTTGGGGGTAAGTACTGCACTTATATAGTAACAGATTTATTTTCTAGAATGATTTATCAGAAAAACTGCTAGATGATGGCTGTTCTTGGGATACTTGGAGTGTCTTGATGTGAAACACAGAGACAGTTAGTCTCTTCATTCTACATTGGGAGACTGGAGGGCAGTCAAGCTGATAAGGTGTATCAAGATAGCAGAAATGAATGTCTCTTGTAATTAAAGATGTTCTTCTTGTGTAAATTATTAAGTAAATAATCTAATATATAAAGTGTTTATTTCTGGGAGGGTCCTATGTGGCCACTGTCAAGCTGAAGCTGAAGTTTCAGTGTAACATTTTTTACATGGTTTGGTTGGTCCAATGTAAGTACAGTATGTATAGTATTTGCCATACCTGTAGGATCTCTGTGATCCCTGTGCGGGGCCACACAAGCTGCACTGAAGGAGGTGAGCAGTGGGTGAGCAGAGACCAGAGTATCATCGATTGTATCACCGTCCACATCACTGCTGTTGGGTTCGCCACCATGAGATTCTCAAATCTCATAGACGCAGGACCCTGTAATCAACTGCACATGTGCTAGTTTCCCGCTCCTGCCAGATTCCTTGTGAAGATGTCGGCTTTACTATCATTAGTAAGTTCTTTCACCGCATAATACCCTTACAGATCCTTATGCATCTGGTGGTGGCAAGCTCCAGTGACAAGGTGCATCTGGTGGTGGCAGGCTCCAGTGACAAGCTGCATCTGGTGGCTGTGGTGGCAGGCTCCAGTGACAAGCTGCATCTGGTGGTGGCAGGCTCCAGTGACAAGCTGCATCTGGTGGTGGCAGGCTCCAGTGACAAGGTGCATCTGGTGGTGGCAGGCTCCAGTGACAAGGTGCATCTGGTGGTGGCAGGCTCCATTGACAAGCTGCATCTGGTGGCTGTGGTGGCAGGCTCCAGTGACAAGCTGCATCTGGTGATTGTGGTGGCAGGCTCCAGTGACAAGCTGCATCTGGTGATTGGGGTGGCAGGCTCCAGTGACAAGCTGCATCTGGTGGTTACACAGTTACATAGTTAGTCTAGCTGAAAAAACACAAAAGTCCATCCAGTTCAACCATTAAAAAAAAAAAAGTTATAATCCCATACCTACAGTTGATCCAGAGGAAGGCAAAAAACCCAGCAAAGCATGATCCAATTTGCTCCTGCAGGGGAAAAAATCCTTCCTGATCCCCCGAGAGGCAATTGGATATTCCCTGGATCAACTTTACCTATAAATGTTAGTAACCCGTTATATTCTGTGTACCTAGGAAAGAATCCAGGACTTTTTTGAAGCAATCCACTGAGCTGGCCAGAACCATCTCTTGAGGGAGTCTATTCCACATTTTCACAGCTCTTACTGTGAAGAAACCTTTCCATGTTTGGAGATTTAATTTCTTTTCCTCCAGACATAAAGAGTGCCCCTTTGTCCTCTGTGATGACCTCAGAGTGAATACACCGAGTTCACTATATGAACCATGTATTTATACATGTATTTTATGTATTATACATGGAGATCATATCCCCCTTATGTATTATACATGGATCATATCCCCCATGGAGATTATGTATTATACATGGAGATCATATCCCCCTTATGTATTATACATGGTGATCATATCCCCCCCTTATGTATTATACATGGAGATCATATCCCCCCTTATGTATTATACATGGAGATCATATTATACCCCTTATGTATTATACATGGAGATCATATCCCCCCTTATGTATTATACATGGAGATCATATCCCCCCCTTATGTATTATACATGGAGATCATATCCCCCCTTATGTATTATACATGGAGATCATATCCCCCCTTATGTATTATACATGGAGATCATATCCCCCCTTATGTATTATGTACATGGAGATCATATCCCCCCTTATGTATTATACATGGAGATCATATCCCCCCTTATGTATTATACATGGAGATCATATCCCCCCTTATGTATTATACATGGAGATCATATCCCCCCTTATGTATTATACATGGAGATCATATCCCCCCTTATGTATTATACATGGAGATCATATCCCCCTTATGTATTATACATGGAGATCATATCCCCCCTTATGTATTATACATACATGGAGATCATATCCCCCCTTATGTATTATACATGGAGATCATATCCCCCCTTATGTATTATACATGGAGATCATATCCCCCCTTATGTATTATACATGGAGATCATATCCCCCTTATGTATTATACATGGAGATCATATCCCCTTATGGTGATCATATCCCCCCTTATGTATTATACATGGTGATCATATCCCCCTTATGTATTATACATGGTGATCATATCCCCCTCATGTATTATACATGGAGATCATATCCCCCCTTATGTATTATACATGGAGATCATATCCCCCCTTATGTATTATACATGGAGATCATATCCCCCCTTATGTATTATACATGGAGATCATATCCCCCCTTATGTATTATACATGGAGATCATATCCCCCCTTATGTATTATACATGGTGATCATATCCCCCCTTATGTATTATACATGGAGATCATATCCTCCCTTATGTATTATACATGGTGATCATATCCCCCCTTATGTATTATACATGGAGATAATATTTCCCCTTAATCTCCTCTTCTCAAGAGAGAATAAATTCAGTTCCTCTAATTTTTCCCCATAGCTGATCTCCTCCATGCCTCCAGTTTGGTTGCCCTTCTCTGTACTTTCTCCAGTTCCCCAATGTTCTTTTTGTGAATTGGTACCCAAAACTGAACTGCATATGGTTGCGTTGACAGGCTCCAGTGACAAGCTGCATCTGGTGATTTGGTTTGCAGGCTTCAATGACAAGCTACATCTGATGGTTGCGGTGGCAGGCTCCAGTGACAAGCTGCATCTGGTGGCTGCAAAGGCAAGTGACACTGATTTTGCATTATGGTGAGTTTAAGTATTTCATTATATTGTATATTACAAAGTAGCAGTAGAAATAATGCTTTTCAATCATCCTGACACCACATCAGCCATGGTGTCAGGATGATGGAAGCACTAATTGGGCTGCTCCTACCTGTGAAAAGTTGCAGTTTCATCAGCAAATCCTCTGCCTGCTTTGTGTGTTTAATAGGTTGGAGGGCTCCTAGGGACTCCATAGCGAAAGCCTCCACCACAGCACCACCACAACCAACAATCCATAGTGAGAGCCTCTACCACATCACCACTACACCCAACCATCTAAAATGGGAGCCATCACCACCACACCAATCATCCAAAGCAGGAGCCTTCATCACATCATCACCACATCCAACCATCTTAAGTGGGAGCCTCCACCACATCTCCATCACACCAAACATCCAAAGCAGGAGCCTTCATCACATCATCACCACATCCAACCATCCAGAGCAGGAGACTCCACTACATCACCACAGCACCCAACCATAACAAACGGCAGTCTCCACCACATCACCACTACACCCTACTATCCAAAAGGGAAGTCTCCACTACTTCACTTTAGGAGCAATGAGGTCACTTTTTTCCAACAGCATTTCTACTTAGGATTTCCATGTAAATGACATAAACATAACACAGCTAAAGCAAGACCTCTGACCTTTCTGTCGAGTCATTGGAAAGGCATAAAACTGTTCAAAAAAAGATACGACCCATGAGCACTCACAGCATACTGTTTCTTTATTTGCAGAATTAACAAAATAAAAAAAATATATTAAAATATTAGCCAGTCAACGACCCATGCAATATGCGTGCTTTCTCAAGGTATTCAGTGAAAACAAATCCATAAAAATTGTTTAAATTCCTAAACAGATAAAGACATAAGGACATAAGGGGATGAGAGTAGTTTTTTTTTTTTTTAGAATAGGGGATGAGGGTAGTTAGTGATCTTGGGATCACGTATAACAAATATGAAAACTTTACATCACACTAAGCTCATTGTCTACATATTCTGAAGTTCGCTTTCTCATAGAATATCTGAAAAGACATTGGCTACTCAGGGGTGGACTGACAACTCATGGGGTCCCCGGGCAATAGGGGATCGTGGGGCCCCTGTGTCCTTGCCCAAACTCAAAAAAGCCTATGAAAAAGGTACCAGGGGCATCTCATGGGGCACCCTACTGACCCTGGGCCCTCAGGCAGTGCCCGAGTTTCCAAATGGTCAGTCCGCCCCAGTGGCTACTAGTTCTTAGCATGTCTCCGATTCCCTAAAAGCCAACCATCTTAGGTCACTTTTCCAACACGACAGCCTCCTTTAAGGCCATTTTTTATTAAAAGTTGTCATCACAGTACATGAAAATACAATGTAAAGCTACAATTAGGATCTGTAAAATGTACCATGAAATGAAATGGCTCTATGTCTTTGCAGCCTCAGGTGCATTCATATGTTTTCGGTCATCAAAGGGTTTTCATACCTTAACAGAAGCTATTACATTAAAACCCTTCTGCAATCCCACAAAATTTGGGTCAAAGCCTATAAAAAGACATTGTACGTATTTCAGTTCCTCACACTTCTTATTCCAAGATCGTGAAACCAAATGGATAGCTTCACAAGGAAGTACATATGTCCATCTGATCATACCTTGGGGCCAGCTATTATAAACCAATATGGACATGAATATTTAAATTGTCCTTGCAGACGTCAAATCGCACTTGCCCTAACGTCAAGCAGGGGGTCCTCCGGGAAAACTTACGTCTTAAATGGAAAGCTAAAAATAAACGGGTATA